TTTAGTGTGGACAGAAAACAATTTAAAAACGGAGCTTTTCGAAAACGATGACGTTGCGATAATCATGTGACTAACCCTAACCCTCAAGGGTGGAAAAAGGTCAAAAGAGCAAAAGGATGCACTCAAGAGTTTCTGCTTCTGGCGTTTTCAAATTGCTTCAGCGTAGCGGTACCCTGGGTGCCAGAGGGAATTTTTTTTGTTTTTGTGGTGAAGCCGCTATCAGTGACAAAAGAATGCTTAAACACATACAATGACTGATCATTTTACATGCCCAGGTACCTCTGTGTTATTTCTCAGGTCCAGTCCCCATTTATCACCCTCAGCCTCTGAGTGATCCCAATAGTCTCCAGCCCCCAGCCAGTAACCAAGGTGAGAGTCAAATCCACGTTTAGTTGGCGTGTAGTCATATTTAAAAAATCCAAGATGCCACTGCAAAATAATGCATTTGTATAAATAAGTATGCAAGGAACTCTGTATATTTGCTCTGATTCTTTTAATTGAAACAATAGTTTTACAGAAGGTTGATGATAAATATCACAATACAAGCAAATAAATAATTGTTTTCAAATGCCCCTATTCATATGGTATGCATATAAACTGGCTCTGGCATTGGGTCAAGTGGTGCATACCACCAGCACTTATCCTGGTTTCTGTAGCATTTAGAAGCTAGGAATATTTCCACTCAGCCCCCTGGATGTGATACTAGTCCATTGCAGGTGTACCCCCACCATTTAATCCACTAGCACCCATTTATTAGATATAGCTGGGTGGAGGGAGGCACTGTGAGAGTAAAGTGCACAAGAACACAGCCCTTTGACCCCAGCTGGGGCTCTGAGTGATGCAAATTACCCACAAAACTCAACCCAGACCATTACGAAGGCCATCCGATCCCACTCCGCCTTAGACATTCAAATGAAACCCAACATCTACTGAAAAACGAAAACCCAGTAAGGATGCCATATGCTTTGTTTTATATCCATACCTTTCCCACAGCATGTGTGG